CCCCCACCTACCCCATGCAGTCAACCCTTTATCTCCCCTTTCCCAGGAGACTTAAGAGTGATGAGTTCCTGCCTCTCTCGCCACTTGCATACAGGACTCTTCAAACTCCCCTGCCCTGCCATCTGACTCTGCCTCAGTCCATCACTCCCTCTCTCCCTCCCCTCATCATTTATTGTCTCCTTATCTCCCTCATTTACCTGCTCTGGGAGCTACTCCATTTCAAACATGGAGCAGTTCCCTTTAGCTGCTTGCTTAGTGAAATGATGCCCCACCAATCAGCTAAGCTCCTTGCCTGCGCAGGAGCTTTGAACTTCTACATGGAGTGCAGAAAAAAGCTGCACAGTCATGCAGCTTACACAGAACTTAGGTGGTAATGTGTAGCTGCAAGCCAGAAACACCCTGTTAGCTTCACCCACTACTGAGAGAATGAGACCTCACATGGAATCAGAGTGTGAGAGAAGGAGGGGAACGTATATAGGGTGTCGTGGTTAAGACACAGACATTTTCTAGGGGGACCTGTAAAGCAAGATCTTTCATCAAAGGAAAAACGTTTATTAAAGAGTATTTAACAGCAGTCATGAGATGAATGAGATGTAGAGACTTAGAAAATCAGTAATTGTTTGGCTTTGTATTTGTACCTGTCTGTGCAGGGGATTAATATGAGTTGCCTGTATTCCACAGGAGGAAATAAGTTAGCTTTTAATAACTCTCAAGCAGCTTAAACAAATGAAATAAAGAAACAGAAGCCATCACCCTCTTGGGTTCTGGTTTTATTGGCTTGTTGAGGTGCTTTTTCCACACACATTTTTGTTCTAAATTAAAGGATTGCTTTCCCTTCTGAAATGTGTCAGGGACTGTTGGTTATAGCTGTGATCTTTTCCTCAGTCATTGCACTAATACGCATTTGCATTTAGCGTACAACAAGCTTGTGCACTTTAGTTCCCAGGAGTATTTGAGAATAAAGGTCTGTTTGCATCTAAGGAAATTTCACATCATATTGGGTATAGGATTCAGTAGGTGCTGCGCTCCTCACCTTCTAACTGCCCTGTATGAACTCTTGTCATATCAGTGATAATAATGTCCTTCTCCTGCTCTCATGAGTGAGCCACGAGCAAACAATCAGCTTATGTCCTGAAGCAGGTACTTGCATCACCTCTATAACATTGTTTCAGCATGCACAACTACACATATTGTTAATGGTGCTAAAATGATCTAGCCCCACTTTAAAAATCCTGCTACAACCTCTTTCAGTGACCTTCTGCAACAAATTGCACAGTTTGGCAATGCAGAGATTGCGTATATTTTTAGTGCTTTTTCTCTTTTTCTGCAGTGCACAAATCTTTTTACTGTATTGTCTCTTAACGAGCTCTAGAGTAATTTGAGTTGTGTTTTGCCTTTTATCTGTAATCAAAAAACACAGAAGTCATGACAAATATCTGATAAAATGGATGGTCAAAGGTGTAGGGTTTTTTCCTCTCTTATATTCTTCAACACTTGGCTCATCCTAGAACCTTGCTGCCTCAGTCAGGCTTAAGGCTTTTCTGTGCTAGGTGCTGCGTCAAACAGCCATAAGAAACAAATAGATTGTACTGTTCAGCACCTTTAACCACTTTGCACCACTCCTTCAAGGTACCAGGCTCCTGCTCTGAGAAGCTTGCCGGCTGAAGACCATTGATGGAAAACTGTATTGTCTTGTCGGTGATCGCTGGGTCCCATGATGCATGCTTTTGTGTCCTCTAGGCTGAAGACATCCTTGAATACCATCAACAGGCAGAACACAATACAGGAGGGCTACATCTACAATGCAGGCTTCTTTCACAAGAACTATTTTGCACAAGAATTCTTGTGCAAAAGGTCTTCCACAAGAGTGGGTCCACACTGCCATGTGCTTTTGCGCAAGAGATGTGCTTTTGCGCTAGAGTGTCCATGGCAGTGTGGATGCTCTCTTGCCCAAGAAAGCTCTGATGGCCATTTTAGCCATAGGGGTTTCTTGCGCAAGAAAATCATGTTGCCTGTCTACACTGCCTTCTTTTGGGAGAGCTCTTGCATGAAAGGGCTTATTCCTCGTGGGGAGAGGAATAATTCCTCTGGAAGAAACCCTGTTTTCCAACACTGTACTGTAAATTTACTTGCGCAAGAACACGTGTGCAGTGTAGATACCTGGCAAGTTTTTGCACAAGAACAGCTGTTCTTGCACAAGGAGCCTGCAGTGTAGACGTACCCAAGATGGGGTAGCATGAAGCTGTGTGTTCACCCCCGACAAGACAATGCCCCCTTCCTGCCATGAGCTGCAATAACTGCCTGTAGTTTAGTGA